CCATGAAATGAAGGTGGCCATTATGCTTGTTGTTTGTTCTTTCGGTGCTGTTTTTTAGATTTTCGTGGAAGTTAGTGTTTTGGGACATATAATCCCTCTTCCACACCCATCTCAGAATTTATACTATTATACTATCGAAGCTGATGCTCCCAAGGGAGCTCAAACTGGGATCTCTGAGAAGTTTTAAAGTTTTCTTTGTTTCTTTACTGTTTTTACTTTGGTTATCTTTTGTTTCTTTATTCTGTTGAGCTTTAATTGTTGATGCTACTGATTTCTGGTTTTTTTTTTTTTTTTTTTGTATATATTCTAGATTGGCTGTTTATTTGGTAAGCCTATTGCTATTTGCGAACTTACTGACTTAAAGGATTTTAATGCACCGGCATAGGACAAATATTTTCAGGGCTGTGCGCCTGTTACCAATTTTCTTGCTTCAGCATAAGATATGCTTTTCATTACTTTGATTGTCTGCACCTCCTTTTCTGATTTCCCCCTGGGACATTGTAATGAGAATGCTGTATGGTTTCCTTTGCAATTTATGCATAGTGGCTCAGCATTGCAATTTTCGCTGTCATGGCCTTCCACAGAGCAGCGTGCACATGTGATTTTGCCATGACAGGACAGTTTCGAATGACCAAAGTGCTGGCACTGGAAACATCACAAAGGGTTCGGTATGTAAGCTGGGCAGTGTAAGTACCCAGCCTTAATACTCTTTGGCAGATCAGGCGACTTGAAGGTCAGGATTATATGCTTTGTATCAATCAACTGACCTTCTTTGCGCATCTTGATCCGTCTGGCAGCACAGACATTCTGGTTTATTCACCGGATTAAGATAAGTTTCAAATAATACAGAATAAAAGATACGGAAAAAAGACTGATTGAATTTTATTTAGCACTTCAAAGAATTCTATATTAATATACTTCAACATGAGCTATATTAATATACTTCAACATGAGCACCATCAGTTGCTTGGAAATTATAAATTCTGCTCCCAATTTTCTTCCAGAGATTATTATTTGCAAAGTCAGAATAGCTATTTTTGTCATGATTCCATTTTTTAATTTTTTGATGCTGCGAATATCTGCAGCATAAACTTGGTTCTTCAAGTATCCTCAGAAAAAGAAGTGGTGTGACATTCGGAGAACGTGAAATGTATTCACCTCTACCAATCTAAAAATATGGGAATGTTTCATCAAACTTCGTTTCCCTAGTAGTTTTAAAATCATAAGTGTTCAATGCCAAGCTTCATTACTAGAAAACTAGACCTTGCTGCATCAGAAAAACTGGTTTAGGATGTCACCTAAATGTTCTAACTTTTCAACTTTATGCCACTTGGTATAACAGCCAACCAATCACAATGATGCAAACATCAGTCAACAGTTTTGCTGAGGCAGCTATACATTTACAAATGTGCAACTTTCCCTTCTCTGATTGGTTATTGCTTCAGGTGCTAAACAGGTGTGAATGGTTTTAATGACTTTTTTGCCTTAAACTACAAAGCTTTATGACAAAACCATTGTCTGAAGGAAGCTTCAAGGAACATGCACATGCGTAGCCTAATAGCAGGGTGCTCCATCCTGTTTGAAAAAAGAATTTGGCTACATTTGTCCTAATTGTGGTATTGAAAACAATTTCAGCATATCAAAGCAATCATCTGAATTAAATGATGACTTTGAGAAAAGAAGCAATCAGTCATTTTGTTACGAGTTAGCATGCATCAAACATTAAAGGTTACGTCACTCAATTTCCCTTCCAAATTCAGATTTTATGATACCCAAATCCTGCAGTTATATCTATTAAACTCTCCTCAAACATGAGAAGCTGCTTCATCACTGAATATGATTTTCTCAAGAAACTGAGCATCATTACTGATATGATAAAGAACGTCTACAGAAAACTCCTTATGAACGGCTCAATCATTAGATTTGCTGACAAACCTACAATTTATATGCATTCAGTTTCAAACGTCCTGAACAACTTTATGAACAGTCAACCTGGGAATTTCTGTTTGCAGGCTGGAATGGCGAATGGATTCATTGGGACTGCTCGCAAATGCATCTTGAATGGCGGAAACACTTTCATCATTGACACTTGGCCAACTTGCTCTTCCATTATGCAAACATGTCTGGTTTCTTGACATTATTTTAACCATCTTTTAATTGATTCTTCTGTTGTAGGAGGTTCATTAAATTCATCTTGGAATTGTCTGTAAACTGTTTCTCATCTGTAAACGTCTGTAAGAGATTTCGTTTCCCAAGACCAGAAACTGGACATTTCTCTTTCAATGCATTATGCCATTTTGTCAGCACACAAGGAAGTTTTCTGTTGTCATTCCCAAACATTAGAACAAGCGCAATTCCTTGAACTAAAGCTTATATCAATATAAATTACTTACTGTTACATAACGTTACATTTCAATTTAATTTTGTTATCCAGTGATTAAGTTATGGACACCCTGTATGAATGGTATACGCTTATTCCAGACTCTTGAATATCCTCTCATAGCATGATCAGTCACTTTTTTCAATATGCCATTTCAACAATAAACTAATCCGCTTGATTCTGAATATCCAGGAGTAAGAAATCTGGACAACGCACATAAGCACTTGAAAAATTCTTATGTCTATCACAACATAAAATTAGAACCTTGATTTGTTAGCCTAAAACTCTTAGAAAATATTGACAAAGCATGTTTTACTTTTCGAAAGCTAACTCCCAAGACAAATTGCCTTGATTACCTCCATATAAATTCTCTATCCACCAATTTACAATACATTTTATTTAAATTAATAGCATCTTTTATATTTATATGTTATGAATTGCAAGTATTTATATTTATTTATTATTACTTTTTTATATTAATAAATCAGGTTATTTTAAGTTAATGGAATGGCACTTAAACCAAACAAAAGATGGCAACCCTAATGATGCATGCAGCTTCAATGAAACGAAGGACCTTTTTATTAAATCCAGAATAGTTTCAGATTACACAGAAGGCACAAAACCCCCATTACATTTAACATTTCTGAAAATATGTGTGTTCTTTTGAGCAATAAATGCCACATGTATTTTATTAGATGGGAATCTATATAATAGGAGGCAGTGCCATATTGACTTTGATATCACTACTTTGCACAGCTACAGAAACTTTCAACAGTTGGCATACGATAACCAGAATCAGGATCGATAAAATTGTATTTATGGTTAACTTGCAGGTGTTCATATCTGACAGCTTGTCAAGCCATTTTTTATACCCTTTCCAACAACCAGAGTAAATTCAGTATAAATTAAACTGCAGACTAATCACTTGACAACTACAAAATCGTGAAATCAATACCGATTCCTTCCTCAAAAAGGAGCAACACTTGAACAAAAACAGGTACTTGCATATTAATGCAACCATCTTGGTTCAAATGGACGGTCTTATACAAACAAAAGGCTAAACACTATATATCGGGTGCAAGTTGGTGATTTTTGAGATTTTTAAAAATGTTTCCAAACTATCTACATTTATTATAAGCAAGCAAACTTTAGCAACACATCAAAAAAAATATTTTAAAATAAAATTTTTTATTATTAAAGATTATATGGTATATTAAAAGATAAAACTTTTCGCCAAGTCCTTAAATTTTTTTGTGCTGTTGCACTAGCACGTTAGCTAGGTAAAAAATTATCTCGAAATAAGTTGACAAATGCTCTCCAAAAAGTTTGGACTTTTCAAAAGTCTGGAACAAGAGATGGCCAAATTTCATTCATTAAGAAAGATATGCTAAAATTTAAAGATATTCATGATAGACAACTAGATAGTTATGCCATTTTAAAGGCAGTAAAATTATATGAATAGAAATAAACATCTCAAATATACAAGCACGGATTTCACTTTTTAATGCGATTATTTATAAACATGAATAAACAGCTCTTGTTGCTCTTTCCCTGCTCCCAGGAATGTATGTCCTATTTTTAAATGTTTCTATGATATTTTATTAATTTTCCCCTGCCCAAATAGGAAACTAGGGATTGTCTTCCAAATTCTAATACTTTTCTTAAATATAATTGTTGAATAGTTTTAATACGAGTAAACTGAAATCAAAAGAAAAACAGATCTTTAAAATACAGTACAAAGCTTTTTATTTGATATAAGAATAACATAATAATTCAAAAACTAGAGAGAGCAGTTTTCTTTATTCGTAACTCCTGTGTCAATTTGAAAAAAAATAAAAATAAGTGAGATAGAACAGCACAGGCTCCTGAAAAATTACAATCATGGTACAAAAACTACTTTAAAATAAACTGCTAAATTATGAGGAATTTTGCATAAAAAGCAATAGTTTACCTTTTCTCATACAACTAATATAAAGGCCAATATATACAAAACAAATCTAACCTTAAGCCACTTAAATAATTCATTACATAATTGGTTCATACATACTTTGTTTTCTTAATGCAAATAAATTACAGCTACATATATATTTTATAGTGCTACCTCAGGCGGATTAGAAACATATTCAATAACATGTAACTGTATTTGTCTTTTTCTGCTGCCCTATAAATGCAGCATCGCTAAGGTAAAAAGTCACTGACAGGGAACTATTTGCCTTTACTACTTTGATGATCTGTGCAGAATATATTGTTTTTGAAATGATCCTAAATTCTCTTGAAATTATCGATCATCTAAAATAATGAAAAAATATTAACTTAATGAATGATAAATATAATACAGCAGAATCTGCTTTACACAGTAAATTTGCCTCAAAAATTAATTGTTTGCTACAATACTACCCACAGCTTAACTCTGCTTGCTATAGATTCTGAAATATTGAAAAGAAAGATGATTATTTTATCTTCAGATGCACTGCAAATCTCAGACTGCAAATAACATTATGTGAATAATTTATGCATGAAGAGAATAAATAATTTCAATACACATACAGAAAGTAGAAGATTACCATGCACACTACCAATATTTTACAAAATACTAAAGGTAAAACTAAAAGCAACTTACTTATTACTATTTCTTCTTGAGTGTTGTACATGGACTGATCACTTATTTCCCTTTTCACAATTTTTTGAACTTTGCCGATCAAAAATCCCTCCTGAAATGTTAATATATATATGTATGTTATAATTATTATTTTTAACAAATAAACTACTTCATTCATTAAAAACATTAATACCATTTTAGTATACCTTTATTAAAATTCAGAAATTGTACATGGACAAAGTCAAGAGAGTGCGCGATGCCTAGCTCGTGCAATTCTCCGATTTTTTTCAAGTGAAAATAGATCAATGTGTACATGGATATCAAGTTTGTGCAATTCTTTGTCTTGTTATTTTGTCTTTGTGCCGTGCAGATTTTTGGCAAAAAAGTTGCCGCTACAGAAACCAAAATAACAAGTTAAAGAATTGCACAAACTCGTTATCCATGTATCGCCAATTTTCACCACGAGGTACCCGTAAATACGTAGGTTGGGGCAAAAGTCATGACAACTATTTTCTTTCTTGAAGATACCAGTCCGGTTGAAAAATGTGACATATACATACGAAAGGACAGGGTCTTAACTACATGTGTGGACAATGAATAGCACTGAAATATCGTAACACACGAATTTATTATGGTAGTATACAGGGCAATATAGCCTTCATCGTGCAAAAGAATGATAACACAATACACATAAAGTTGAAATGACAAACCTGGGACTAAAGACCCTCAATGTTGTCTCCTGCTACTGTCCACACGCTGCCAACGACGTGGGAGGCGCTGAATACCATAAGCCTCAGAATTTGCCGCACCATGTGTGAATTGGGTCATCTGTTGGCACACAGCATGAGCAATGTCTTCTCGTGTTGCAAACCACCTACCACGTATTGGTTTGTTAATCTTGGGAATGAGATCAAAGTCACAGGGCGAAAGGTCAGGAGAGTACGGTGGGTGTTCCAATTCTTCTCATCCCCAACGTCGGAGTACCTACCGTACATACTCAGCTTTATGTGGTCTTACATTGTCGTGCACTATCCACAAGATCCGGAAGTTTATCCCGAATGCCACGTCGTACCTGTCACATCACCAGGAAGTCCCTGTAGAACTGTGAGGTCACTGTCCTGCTATGAGGAACAAAGTGGCAAACAATGACACCCCTAACGTCATATGCGACGATCACCATCAATTTCACATCACCTAGATTCTGATGCTAGCTCATTACGCAATATCCTGTGGATGGTGTGTTTCTTCCACACGACACATATACGTTTTGTGATCCGTTCACATATCTACAAGAAAAAAATAGTTGCCATGACTCATGCCATAACTTTTACCAAACTTTCCTTTGGCAAAAGTTAGTGGTACATTGTTACCTATTTACTTTCAAAGTATACTAGTCAGTACTAATGAATGCAGGTATCAAGATACATCTTTATAAGACCCTTCCAAATTTTAGAACGAAAAAAAGGAAGGTGTTATCTTCAAGGAAATATGGTATTAAGTTCTTTCAACTAAGGTATTAAGTCCATTAAGTTGGACCGTAACTACTCTGTATTACAGAAAGTTAACTTCATAGGCTAAAACTATAGAATACTGGTATTAATTATATTCTGTACTCAGTTCCTGGTGGCAGAATCAGCTTGCAATATAAGCATTTTCAGGATTATCTTCCATGTATAACACAATTAAGTTTTTCTTTGAAAGCCTATCATATTGACATCTCATTCTAGACAAACTGCACCTAAAACTTTCTCATAATTAGTCAATTAACCTAGATTATAACTTAAATATTTTCTTTGACAAATCAAACTTAACATTTTAGCCAGAAAATATGCATGTCAGATAGCAGCAGAAAAGGGAGGGGGAAATTAAATAAATAGTTTTTTTCACTGTGATAAGTTTCATAATTCTAGCAAACCAATGTTAATTATGCATAAGGTAATTAGAGCATGTATTATGGCAGTCAAGGAGAGTGATAATGATGGAACTAAATGGTAATATGGTATATTTTTGCCATCACTTTAGAATTGCATAAGGATAGAGTTACTTGCTCCCTCACAATTACTTTTGGTTTCTAATTAATTATAAAATTAAATTTTTTTAAAAAATTCACAAATATGGCTGCACAGTCAGAAATACAACCAATGGAAATATATATATGCCATTCCCTAATAGAATATACATAATTTCACTTTCCATTACTTGTATTCATTTTTCTCTACTAATTTTCATAGTGCTTGTCTTCTGGGCTTAAATCAGGAGGAATTTTTAAATTTTAGTAGTTCATTACTATATGGTACAAGCGTTTTGCTTCATCTTTTATACAACTAGCAATTCCCATGTAATTTGTTCTCAGTTTGCTGTTTCATTAATTTAATTTTATGTTTACTCATTTAAGTCAATTGTCCCATAAGATTTAAATAAGGAAAAATCAAAATTTCTTAAATACTTATTTCCTGCTTTTAGAAAAACAAACATAAATTTACATACTAATACTTTTACCTTGCTGCAGCCTTTTATGCATTAAAGGTCGATCATATAATTTTTTATTATTGATTATAATCGAGATATCAGTTTCATTACAATCTTATATAATAATTACACTATTGTGTTATGGTCTTATACAATCGAGACTGTCCTTAATCACATGAAAATTTTCCCCGATTTAATATTATATGACACAGAATGCGATGTAAAATACAGAATTTTTAACTAAAAAAACATCTTCCTTTTATCAAGCTCTAATGATTACTGAAATCAAGATCTACTCAGGAAAAATTTTACATGAAGCTTTATACAGCATGAATCTCAACAGGAGTTGAAACCGAAAGTCGAAACTTGTGTAGTACTATTACTCAGGCAACGACCTACATTAAAATTTTATAACATATAAAAACGATTGATGTCATGATTATGATAATTAAAATATCAATACCTAACAAAACTGATGCTCGGATCATAATAAAAATTGTTTATGTGCACTTCTGTACAATGTAACTTACCAGTTCCTCTTCACTATTTGCATTTTCAAACATAAGTGTTGACAATACAAAACTGCTAAGGCAAATTTTAGGTCTTCCAGCCATTCTACGTTTGATTCTACAAGCATTAATACATAAAAGATTTGTTATATTTAACTATCATGCTTGAACACAATCATCAACATTCAGTCACGCAGCTGATCTAAAAAGTCACCAAAGGCTCATTTACTTAACGTCTAGGCGCACACCTAATCACACATTACACGGTTCACGAAATTTACTGGAAAACAGAGTTTTAGTTTGGAAATTACCCTATTAGCCAAAATAATTAAATACATTTGCTTTAGAAAATCAGATCTATCTATAAAGTATAGCTACTGAGATAATTATTTTGTCAAAATCAGCATTTCTCGCCTCGGTGCCGATGCGCAGCCGTCAAGACCTCAAAATGCGTCTTGTACTATTACTAAGAACGGTGAAGCAGTAAGCAGTGCTTCCTTTCACTCTGCATCTGGTGAAGACCATCTTTAAAATAAAATGAGTAATTTGGACAAAATAAGACGAAAGTATTAAGTCAAGTGGACGCCATCAGTCGCCTAAGAAGGTGGGTTTCGCGAAAGTTCAAATCAAGTAACTGAAGAGTTTATTATGCGTAAAAAATGTTAAAAATGGAGAATGTCAGATGGATATTTGCGTTATTCTCTGGGACATGGAGAATATCTAAGAGAGTTGACATATATGCTCTGTATCTTAAAGGATTAATATGTTACATTTCACTCTTAACAGTAATATATTATACGCATATATGTGTGCGCGCGTAAGATATAATAAAATACGATGGCAGTGCTAAGAAATGATTAGCGACCTCAAAATTGACTATTCTAGATTTTATGTTTTCCCCCTAAGTTCATCTGTTCTATCAAATTCGGGATCATTCATGTTACATTACGCTACTTGAGAAAGGGAACTAAAACCTAAAATTAACCAATCGCAGCTTAGCTGTACGTATGCACCTACCTAGTGTAAAATAAGGCTACTATAAAGGGTCTCTAGTAGATCTAGTGTAAAATAGCTATTAAATGCGTAGTCTCTCTCGTTCGCCTGCCTGCTGACAGTGTGTCGCTCAGCCTTTGCTAGCTTTTTCCCATTATTTAAAATGTAATTGGCTCGATTACCTCAAATAATCTTCCACCAAATAAGCTAAGAAATTCCTCATTCAAAAATAAATTATGTTTAACTATCAAGCTAGTCGTGCTTCTTCTAAAATTCCATCGGATCATTCCACTGTGACGCAATTTCCAATCATCTACGCAGCAGTATTTTTGGTCATGACTAGTACGTGAATTGTTTTTATCTTCCGCCAAAAGTACAACGTTATATACAATATATAAAATTCATTTCATTTGATTCAAAAAAATTCATTTGATTTGTTCAGAAAGAGAATTTTAGACTTATTGCTTCAGCGATCAGCCATGATTTCACCTCTATAAATCCAAATTTGACAGACAGAGTTAGACAAATTTGGTTAGCGAGCCCCCAGAGGTTGGTATCCAAGAGTCAACTCGTCATCTCTTATTACCATCAGTGAATCCTGTCACTAGTTGCAATATGATAAGACTTCGAACAACAGATTTTACGTAACGTATTCAAAACCGTACCGAAAAACAAAACTTCAAGCTTTATCGGTATTCGATACCAAGCAGTACAAAACCGCCTTTTCCAATTACCATAAGAACTATATTGTAGAATGGGAAAAAATTGTCTCTCTTGATATATTGTTTCACAGGAAAGAAAAAAATTTATGCTCTGAGGTACATGTACAGAGCTGAAAAAAATAAGAACGATACATGTTAAAATCTAAACCACCCAACAGAAAATTTTCTTTAAGAATTCTGCTGGAATTATATTTTATTCAATTTTGCACTATTTTAATTTAACACTCTTTGCTATGATGCGTTAACAGGAAAACAGTAAATACCACGATATTTTGTGAATACGTACCCCGATATGTTACTACGAAAAGTCCCTTAGCGGGGAAAAGTATCAGGGAGACAGTCTGATCTACCATACTTGTGCTTTCGTCTTATTTTGTCCATACTGCTCACTTTGTTTTACCGATGGTGTTCAACAGATGCAGAGTAAAAGGAGGCAATGCTTTTTGAAACTCTAATATATCACTATTATATGTTCTTAGCAGTGATTTCGATGGGGCAAAGCTCCTATAAAGGGTATCTCTAGTAGCTCTACGATGTGGACACATGCGTTAACAGCGCCCTGTAGGAAACAAACAAAAAATTACTCTGTTTTAATATGGTGTCAATGAAGCGTCTCACTATCTCTTGTAGCACACTGTTCCCTAGGCAACCTGAGACCGCGAAAGAAAATGTGAAGGTGAGAAATTATTAAATAATGGAGCAACTGAATCTTTATAATTTTTATGATTGGAGACTGATAATTATTATGCAGTGGAACTGTGTTAGTGCCAATTTAATAGTAAATAATAATAGAAATTAATTTGAGATATGGCAGAAGGAATACCTGAAATTGATTGTGTTTCTGACTATTCTGACTCAGAAACTTGCAGTTCATCCTGTTGCTCTAGAAGTGATGGGTAGGTATATTTAATATTGTTTGTATGTATTCATGTATTTAAAATTACGTATTTATTCAAACTAAATTGTTATGATAGTTTTAATCTTTAGAATATAATTTTTAATGTTGTTTCTAATGCATATAAAACAGTGTCTGTTATTTATTTTTGTCACTTGTGTTTGTGAAATTCATTTGCGAAATAGAGCTACTGAATATTAAGAATTCATATAATTTTGCCCATATACTATTGTTTCGATATTTAAAAAAAAATTCTTGTTGCAGTATGCATTCAGAACGTTTCTTAAATTAAAATAATTTTTCTAAGTCACATGAAACAGTTGAAATGGCATTGAAATCAGGATCACATTTCAAGCTAATGGCCAGTGGCTTATGACCAGTGTTGATAAGTGAATATTAACATGTGTGATGCCTTTATATTTCTGATGTTTCTTTGTACACCGCAGTGCCAGGAAACATTTCCGACCTTACATTGCTATATGATTCTTAGTCATTGGAATACACCATACCCATCCCAGAAGTTCTGAAAAATGGTACTGAGACACCTGATATAATTAGTTGTATATATAAATTGGCAAAGTGTTTTGCTGCTGAGAAAGAGAGACCTACGTCGGATCATTCTTGAAATTGATAGTTTTATTCAAAATCTAACCAATTTAAGGTTACTTTTTTGCGTAGTTTTTAATTTTTTTTTTACTTTGGCTTTTTTTTTTTTTTTTTTTTTTTCAGTTTGACACCATAATGTATTTATACTATTTTTTTTACTGCTTTATTGTACTGTACACTGTATTATCATTATTATTTTTTGTTTGTAATAAACATGAATAACACTATCCATAGATCCCTGGATATTTCATTATTGTAGGAGTTTTATATTTCATGATAAGGCGATAGAAGTCCGGAGCTCTACAGTGAAAATTTGGATTTTAAAAGTTGCATAAATTTGTTGGGCTGTAGTTTCAAAGATTAAATTCATCTACTTTCAGCTGCAGAAGTGAAAACGATTAAGGAGAAGTATAAAGAATTTCAGAAAGATTCATCTAAGGAAGTGGTAGCAAAGCCATTGACATTATCTGTTGACAAAATGATACTCTTCTATTATCAGGACCCGAATTTAGAAATGTATGTTTGTAGGCATGTGTGTATGGATGTATGCATTCATGTATGCAAGTATATAAGTAAGTATGTACGTATGTATACACACACACACATATATATGCACGTGTGTACATGCATACATTTCTGAATTCGGTCCCAATAACAGAAGAGCACTGACAAAACTTCAAAATAACTGTGAAATAACTTCTTTAAAAGCTGTAGGTAAAAAGGGATTAGACTTAGGATCATTAACAAGAACTGAAACACTTTTATAAATATGAAATCCTTGTACAAAATCGTTTTCCTAACTAAATATGTTTTTTAAGTAATTTTGGCTGCAGAGAAATGGAAAATGTGATTCTTTGACCGGCAGTATTGGTCGATAAAGGATTCCTATGTTTTTTGTAACATATTTCTCATGCTCCATAGTGCGAAATTTCAAAACCTTTTTAGATTGCACAATTTATATTAAGCCATACTGCAGTGGAATGCAGTACAAAGTCCGTAATCCGGACTTGTCGGGAATTCGCCGATTCCGGATTAGGGGTTTTGTCTGATCTTTCGAATATGGTAACTGGTAGTTTGGCGACATTTTGGAGGTGATAAAGGTTACTACCTAGGACTTTGGTAATAATGTGAGAAGTACTCAGTTCTGATTACGCATTATTTTGTGCGAGGGAAATGAGAGATCGTGAGATATGTCATGTTACATTAATGGACGAATTACAGTTCTTTAATCGGAAAAGGGGGGAAATCTGGAAATTTTGTATTTAGCTTTATTTTGTGTTGTGCGAGGGAAATGAGAGATCGTGAGATATGTCATGTGACATTAATGGACGAATTACAGTTCTTTAATCGGAAAAGGGGGGAAATCTGGAAATTTTGTATTTAGCTTTATTTTGTGTTGTGTGAAACAGTGTTGGTTAATTTTTGGATCCCATGGCCCTAACTAAAGTGAATTGGAAATGGGTATTTAGTGGGATTGAAAGGGGTAGTAATAAGTGTTTTTTTAAGGTTGTGCGAGATAGAAGTAAAGATGTTTTATTAAGTTATTTATTTTACGTGGTACTTTGCTGTGAACTATTAGTATGATTTTAAAGATCGTGAAACAGGCGCACATACGCTTGCTTTTTATTTAGCGGAGGAAATAAGAAAAGTTTATCGGCCACGTAATCAAGATTCTGAAGAAGATTAGGTAAATTAGTATTTTTAATTATTTGAGGATATTATTTTTATGCATTGTTCTAAATGTAAGGAGTAAATAAAGTAATATGGTATTATTGGAAAATTGTTATTAGCAATGATTTAGTTTAAAGTAATTAGGATTGTAAGCTAATTTTTATTAATTTAATATATGTGCTTATTTATATTTTAAGTAGTGTTTTTGAATTTAATTATATTTTAATTAAATGATAGTTATTTTGTGAATTGTATGTTTGTAGGAATTTGGTATACATTTCAGTGGAAGTAAACGTGCATGGAAATAATTTAAATATTTGACACTAAGTATTTGTAACCATTTGTAATGTTTGAGGTATGAATTCGTTGGTGACGTTTATAATATAATAGATAATTTAGAGGTAAAAGTTTTGGATATTTTATTTATTTTATACGTGGAATGTTCATCTTTGGAAAGGGTATATACTTTTTCGCGATCAGTAATTTCATATATGTTCTTTTACCGGATTTAAAGATTCAGAAAATTGTCATGCATTTTCCGTGAAATTTTTCTAATTTATGAGAAAAAGCAGTGTACATGGATATAGTGAAGAGTGTGCGCAATGCCATTTTTGTGCAATTCTGGGATTTTTTTTTAAGTAAAAATAAGTCGACGTGTACATGGTTTAGTGATATTTTAATTAAGTGATAGTTATTTTGTGAATTTTATGTTTGTAGGAATTTGGTATACGTTTGAGTTGAAGTAAACGTGCATGGAAATAATTTAAATATTTGACACTAAGTATTGTAATGTTTGCGAATGAATTCGTTGGTGACGTTTATAATATAATAGATAATTTAGAGGTAAAAGTTTTTGGATATTTTACTTATTTTATATCATCCTTGGAAAGGGTATATACTTTTTCGCGATCAGGTAATTTCATGTATGTGCTTTTGGCTGATCTTTGGAATATGGTAACTGGTAGTTTGGTGACATTTTGGAGGTGATGAAGGTTACTACCTAGGACTTTGGTAATAATGTGAGAAGCACTCAGTTCCGATTACGCATTATTTTGTGTGAGGGAAATGAGAGATCATGAGATATGTCATGTGACATTAATGGACGAATTACAGTTGTTTTAATCGGAAAAGGGGGAAATCTGGAAATTTTCATATTTAGCTATATTCTGTGGTGTGTGAAACGTGACATTAATGGACGAATTACAGTTCTTTAATCGTAAAAGGGGGTTAATTTGGAAAAGCTTCATTGTGTGTTGTGTGAAATAGTGTTGATTATTTTCGGATTGCATGGCGCTATGTAAAGTGAATTGTAAATTTTTAATGTGTTTATCTGATAATAATAATAAGTTGAGATTGTGTGAAAGGAAGGATATTACAAGTTTAAATGGCGGTGCAAGAAATATGGTGAAAATGATATTTTGTGAAAAGGAGTGTAAGGAAGGGTACGTGGTTTGCTGAAAGTAGTTTGAGTATAGGTGAAATTTTTATTAATTTCTATTATTTGGTGAATAGACTTCCAGTTGACTACTGGATTTAGGATTTAGAAATTAGCAGTAGTACTGCAGTGACATAATGAAGATTCTGAAGAAGATTAGGTAAGTTAGTATTTTTAATCATTTGAGGATATTATAGTAAGGAGTGGTTGATCTTTACATTATGGTAACTTGGCGTTTTTTTGGCGAAAATTTGGCTACCAACTCTCCTACAGCAACCCTCTATTTTTTTTTCCCCGCCGCCATTTTGTCTTCATGAAATAAAGACATGTTTCTTTTCTTTTTATCTACTGAACACTTCTTCCAACAATCTACTAGCCGAATTACACTTATGCTAGAAATTTTATCTAACAAAACTGCTTAATCATGACAAATATTCACTGCAAAATTGGGAAAAGTGCACAATACCATACTCCTTACGCGTTTTTCAAAATAACACATACACGTTAACCATGTACACGCAGACTTATTTTTACTTAAAAAAACATCCCAGAATTACAAAAAATTGGCATTGCGCACACTCTTCACTATATCCATGTACACTGCTTTTTTCTCATAAATTAGAAAAATTTCACGAAAATACATGACAATTTTCTGAATCTTTAAACCCGGTAAAAAGAACATATATGAAACCACCTGATCGCGAAAAAGTTTATACCCTTTCCAAATATGAACATTTCCACATATAAAATAAATAAAATATCCACAAACTTTTACCTCTAAATCATCTATTATATTATACACGTCACCAACGAATTCATACCGCAAGCATTACAAATACTTAGTGTCAAATATTTAAATTATTTCCATGCATGTTTACTTCAACTTAAATGTATGCCAAATTCCTACAAATATAAAATTCACAAAATAACTATCATTTAATTAAAATATCACAAAACCATGTACAGGTCGGCTTATTTTTACTTAAAAAAACATCCTAGAATTGCACAAAAATGGCATTGCGCACACTCTTCACTATATCCATGTACACTGCTTTTTTCTCATAAATTAGAAAAATTTCACGAAAAATGCATAACAATTTTCTGAATCTTTAAACCCGGTAAAAGAACATATATGAAATTACCTGATCACGAAAAAGTATATTTACCCTTTCCAAATATGAACATTTCCCCGTATAAAATAAATAAAATATCCAAAAACTTTTACCTCTACATTATCTATTATATAACAACGTCACTAACTAATTCATACCGCGAACATTACAAATGGT